GTATCAACTTTGGGCATGTTGTATAATGTATACAAACATTCCAGTATGTTGGAGGTATGTGCTTAAAAATGCATTGATGGAGAATGATCAAATAAAACTTTGTTTTTGTTTTTTGGAGGTTTTTTTGGTACTGGGGATCGAACTCTGGACCTTGCACTTTCGAGGCAGCGGTGCCACTGAGCTAAATCCCCAGCCCTTTGTTTTGTTTTTTTGAGACAGGATCTCACTAGATAGTCTAAACTCTCTATGGCCTTGAACTCACTCTGTACCCCAGGCTGCCCTCAAACTTGCAGAACTTACCTCAGCCTCTCAAGTGCTAGGATTATAGGCACCACCATGCCTGTTTTCAAATATAGTTTTGAGATACGGTGTGAGGTTAAATTCACAAACTTTCGCTAGAGTTAGAGCTTCAAATTATAACTTTTTCTGTGTGATTTTAAGAGAGGTAAGTCTTTTAAACTCTCTGAGCCTCATTTTCTGGGGTTTTTTTGGTACCAGGGATTGAACTCAGGACCTTGTGGTTTCAAGGCAGGCATGACGCCACTGAGCTAAATCCCCAACCTAGAGCCTGTTTCTTTATTAGTAAAATGGTGATGCTGATGAAACCCACTTCACAGGACCAGTATATGGATAAAGTCAGACTGTTTATGTAAAAAACTAAATGTTGTTCCTAGCCCACAGTAAATGTTCCCAATAAAAATGATTTCTGTTATCTTGCTATTTAATTTTCAGGGTTCCAGTGTGTGAGGACGGTGCTTGGGGAAGACCTATTTGCTTCTGCCACCTCTGTCCATGACAGAGTTTAGCTTGGTAGGAGAGGCCATTCTGTCATCGGTGCTGTGGAGACTTAAATGGCTCCACTTTAACCCCAGTGGCCCACGCTCTACCTGCTCAGACTGAAGAGTCACAGCACCCCATTCCAAATTGGCTCAATCACACACTTTTTTTTGTTTTTTGTTTTTTTTGGTACCAGAGATGGAACTCAGGACCTTGTGCTTGCAAGGTAGACAGCAGTGCCACTGAGCTAAATCCCTGGCATACACATTTTATCCTCCATCCCAAAACATTCTTCACGCCTTTAAGAGAGAAAAAAGCCAAGGCAAAAAGATGCACAAACTCATTAGGAGTCAGAGAAATGCAAAGTCAAACCAAAATGAAGTGCCATTTTACATCCATCCATCCGACTGCCAAGGGCTGGCAAGGATGTGAACTGAGGGAATGCTCATACACAGCTGGGGATGGAAGTTGGCACAATCCCTTTGTAAAACAGTTTGACAGCGTCTGCTGAAATGGAAGATGCATGTACACTATGACTCACCAAGTCCACTTGCAGGTCTGCAGCTACAAAAACTCTCCCACATAGGCACAAGGAACCTTGTACAGCAATGTTCACACCAGCACTGTTCATAATAAGTAAAAAATGAAAAAAAAAAAAAGACCTAAATGTCTAACAAGAGAATGGTTAACTAAATTGCTGTGGATTCCTAAAATGAAATATTTACTTAGGACTATGGATGGATCAAGTTAATATGGTAAGTGAAGAAAGCAAGTTGCAGAGGAATGCATGCACTTGAATGCCATTTAAATAAAGTGGAAAATATTACTATATATTGTTTAGAATACACGTGTCTGCAGTGTAAGCACAGAGATTCAGGGAGGTGAAAAATAATGAAATTTCACTTTTTATGATTAATTCGGGAGCTACCTTGGGGGAGAAAGATGAGACTGGGGAAGAGTCCACCGGGGGCTTCAATTATATTGCACAACATTTCATTTCTTATGCTGGGTGGTGGGGATAGGTGTGTCTGTAATATAATTCTTCAACCATGAAATAATAATACTTCAAATATGAAATATTTCATAATTTTTTATAAAAGACAAAACAATGTAAATGGTCATGATTTAAGTCATTCCATTTTTCCTGAGTCCTGGTTCAGGAAAACAAGGGCCCATTCTTCTTCTGAACAGACCACTTTGGTTAGCTTTAAAAGGAAAAGAACATGGTTCCAGAACTGGTGGCACAGACCTGTAATTCTGGCACATGGGAGGCTGAGCCAGGAGGATCTCTGTGGGTTCAAGACCCGCCTGGGCTACATAGCGAATTCAAGGCCAGTCTGAACTACATACCAAAACCCTGTCACAAAACAAACTAACAAACAACATCCCCTAAATAGGAAAAGATTTAGATCCTTCTTTTTTTGAGACAGGATCTTGCTATGTAGTTCAGGCTGGCCTTGAACTCACTATGTAGCCCAGGCTGGACTCAAACTCAAGGCGATCCTCTTGCCTCAGCCTCCTGAGTGCTGGGATCACAGGCGGGTGGGTGCCACCACACCCAGCTTGATGCTATTCCTTAACTAGTTTGTAATATCTGAGAGGTAACCATGAACATAACAAATATTCAGTGTAGAGAGTGGAGCTTGATATATGTCCAGGATTTTTTCCAAATCCTACTATGACATCAACTCTCTCTCCAGGGAAAAGTAAGTTAAAATCTTGCCATCAACATTTGACCCTGCACTGGGTTTGGTGGCTCATGCCTCTAATTCCAGCACTCAGAAAGCTGAGGCAGGAGGATCACTAGAAGTTCAAGACATAGTGAGATCCTGTCTCGAAAAAACAAAAAAAAAATTTTAATCAAAAAATAATAAAATATTTGACCCTGTCCTCTTCCCCAGAGATAATCTCTATTACCAATATGCTTCCAGACATTTTTTCTGTGTTTATTTGCTTGCTTGTTTATTTATTTTGAGACAAGTTCTCACTATGTAGTGCAGGCTGGCCTTGAACTCACTGTGCAGCCCAGGCTGGCTTCGAACTCACAACAACACTACTGCCTCGGCCTCCTGTGTGCTAGAATTATAGGCACATGCCACCACACCCTGCTCTCTATATGATTAAATACAAAGATAGACACACAGTTTTTTTAAATATGAGGTAACCAGAGGATGGAATTATAAATGTATTTCTTGGGCTGGGGATTTAGCTCAGTGGTTCCGGTGCCTGCCTCGCAAGCGTAAGGTCCCGAGTTCGATCCCCAGTACAAAAAAAAAAACAAAAAACCTTCCATGTCATATTACTTTCTCAGAAAACAAACAAATAAACAAATAAATGTATTTCTTGAACAGAAGTAAAAATATTAAGTATTCTTTTACTGTGACACATTTCCCTTCTGCACTATCAATATGACACGGAGCCCTCCATATCAATTTATTTGCTTATCATGATCTGCCACCCTCTTCCACATTTTCAAGAATTCTATAATAGGGATTTATCATAACTTATCATCTAAATTTTTATTTGTAATTAAGCAAGAAATAAATTCTAGATCCAAAATGTAAACATTTTAAACAATACAGACAGAATGATAAAACCCTTCACAAAATAGAGATAAAGATTTTCACAAGATTGCATACTCGCCTCCACATATGTACAGGCACACACTTGTAACCTCTTAAGCCTAAGCCCCTCCCTGGAGAATGATCATGTTATATTTGGTATACATCCTTCCAGACTCATTTGCTCTCACACAGAAAAAGATATCTTGTTGTTGTGTGTGTGACCGACAAATAGACAAACGGTTCTAAACTGTATATAATGTTCTACTACTTACTCAGTGATAACCATCTCAGTCATTCATTTAGCTGATATTTATTACATGATATGTATGATTCAAGGAACACTATGAAACCAGATAGGCAGCCTCTATCTTTATGCAGCTTACGTTCTGGGGGGATCATCAGACAATAGCATGTAGATAAGCAATGTAACTCCAAGTAGTGCTGAGTAGTATGATGAACATAAAGTGGAGAATGGGGAAGGGAGAGTGGGGCTTTTAACTACTGCAGGGTATTCCACAGTGTGGGTTATCACGGTTTTGGGGAATGACTTTCAAACTTCTCTCCTTGTGTCATGGAGTAAGAACTACCTTTCACAGCCGGGCATGGTGGTGCACACCTGTAATCCCAGCACTCAGGAGGCTGAGGCAGGAGGATCCTGTGTGTTTGAGGCCAGCCTGGGCTATATAGTGAGTTTAGGGCCAGCCTGAACTACAAAGCAAGACCCTGCCTCAAAAAAAAAAAAAGTTCAAGGGCCAGAGATTTAACTCAGTGGCATCGTGCCTGCCTGGCAAGCACAAGGTCCTGAGTCTGATCCCTGGTACCAGAAAAAAATAAAAGAAAGAAAGAACTACCTTTCACACTGCTATCCATCATAGAAACATATGCCCACAAACCCAAAACACTCATATAAAAGTAAACAAGTATTTTATGAAATAATGCTTACTAAGGGTGATGGATTAAAATGTTTTCGGGGCTGAGGATTTGGCTCAGTGGTTCCACCACCTGCCTTGAAAGCGCAAGGTCCTGAGTTCGATCCCCGGTACCAAAAAATAAATGTTTCAGTCTGTTGTATTTTATTTTTAAAACATGTTAACCATGACCTGTAAAAATGTTTTCGTTATCCACTAATAGACTATGATCCCAGTTTGAAAAATATTGTTTTATGTAGCCAAGCCCCTACTGAGATTTATATATTGTTCATCATTCTCTCCTATTACAAACAATGAGCTCCTTTCTACTCATTTTGTGACTATTTCTCAAAGTAAGTTCCCTGATTGTGTAATTGCTATGTAATTAATAGTCGATAAAATGCATGCAACTATTCTAGAACACTAAATTCTAATCCTAGATCAGTCACCATCACAATGTATAAACTTTGGGCAAGTTCTTACACCTCTCTGGGCCTCAGTTTCCTCATCAGTAACCTGACAATCTCTACACCCTGGAGTCTCTCCCAAGTTGAAAGTAGATGCCCCACCCCCTGACTCAGCGACAGCGGGACTTCTCATCAAGCCCTTCTCCCCCTTTTCCGCTCCCTGTTTCTCATTCCTCAGAAGCAGCTCAGAGGGAGAAGGAAAGGGCAGGTCTGGGCACGAGGACCCAATGCTAGGCGGGGCTGAGGGAGGCCAGCCCCCTAGCAGGAAATGAGACAGAGTAGGAATAACACTTTAAAAGCCTGACAACCTTTTCCTCCTGCCATTCCCTGGCCTCTTTCCATCCTTCTCAGCTCAGCCTCCACCCCTCCTACACAGCCTTACTTTTCTTTTTAGGCTACAGCCAGGAGAGTGTCCAGCCTGTCTGATCAAGAGCCCAGGTAGAATCAAGAACTTCAGCCCCAGGATGTTGACAACATTGCTGCCTTTGCTGCCGCCCCTGCTGCTGCTGCCCAGCTGGGCCCTTGGTAGCCAGGAAGCCTCAGAGGGTGAGTTGGGGACATTGTCTCCTGCCTGGGGATGGTTCTATAGACTGTCAGCCTTTCTGGGTACACGAGCAAGACCAGAAGAGAGCTAATTCCACAGCTTCTGTGTCTACAGATGGCTGGATCTGTCTCTAGTGCAGCAGGGCACTGGCTTATGTCCCAAAGCCACTAGGAGGAAGTACAGTTAAGTATCGGGAAAGAGAGTTACTGGGGGACTCTGGTGGAAACAACTGGGAAAATGTTTAAAGGGACCAGTAGAGGGGGTGAGGGAACCAGTGTGGAGAGAGGTAAGCAATGCGGTGAGGTCTGGAGAGGGGCAGCTGGGGGTGATGGGGACAAGGGCAGGTCTAGGGAAGACAAGAAGAGTTGGAGATGACAAGAAAGCTGGAGGGGATGGGAAGATGCTGGAGAACTGACAGTGGTGTACCTTGTTGAGGGGGGTGACACATTTTGGGGGCGACGTTATTAGCAAAAGGAAAATTATATTGTAACAATTTACTCCATTTTAACACAGCAAAGAGTCAAGTACATCAAAATATGAATGTTTTTTCTCTATATATCATTTTAAATAGGTTAACATACTCAGATATGACGGAGGGTGGCAAACTGAAGGACTGCCCAAGGGGCACAAACTAGCTGAGGCACTGAGAACTGATAAAGCTTAGGGAAAGGCTGGGGCTGAGACAAGTGAGGTAGAAGGAGAGACTAGGGAAGATGGAGGAAGAATAGGTGCAGCTGGTGAGGTGGAACTGAGGGGAGATAAGCTGGGACCAACCAGAGAGTTCACAGGGGATAGGGCTGCCTGAAGCGGCCCCACGTAAGCAGAACAGGGGAGTTACTGCCCTGGACTATAATTGCATAGTGGCTTCACTCCCCTCTCCCACAAACTCTATGACTTCCATTTCCTCCTCAGAGGAGCAAATAATAACCAGTATTCAATGAGTGCTTACTATATTTAATACATGTAATAACTCATTTAGCCCCACAGTACCTCACAATGTGTGTAGTGTTATTATATCCATTTTACAGAGGAGGAAACTGAGTCACAGAGCAGCTAAGGACCTTGTCTAAATGTCTAAGGTCTTCGCTCAGATATATTCACTTGCAGAGAGAGAGCAGTTTCTCAAATGCAAACACAGACAAGACACACACGCATGATAGCACACACACATACTTACAACCTCACATCACTCAAGCATCATCTAGGTACCAACTCTTGTGCTAGCCCTTTCTGGGTACAGAGGCAAAGGTAGCCAGATGTAACCCCAGAGCCTGGAAGGGTCCAATGTAGCCTGTGCATATGATTAGAGACAGTCATTAGAATCCCACAAACCCCATGCTAACATAAAGTGGCCTGGGATCACTGAAACAGACCCAAGTGTCTGGGAAAGTAAAGAGGAGAGACATCCAGAAAATTGTCCAAGGAGAGGACAACTTGAAGCATGAATAGAAATTTGCAAGGTGGAACAAGGGAGGCAGAACAACCCTCACCAACTAGTCATATGTCAGACAAAAGTGGGCATCAGGAACCTCAGGTAGTTTGATATATTTAAGCATCAGAAAGCAGCCAGAAAATGCAACTGGGACCAGGTTACTGGCAGCTCTGAATGCCAGGATAGACTCTGAGCTTGGTCCTGTGGTCAGATGTACCCTAAGGGGAGGCAGTGCAGCAGACTGGTGAAGAGTACTGGACGAGTCTATCTGCATTCAAGCCTTGGCTCTGCTATAGGATCTTAGCCTCAATTTCTCATATAGGGTTAACAATTTGTAGATACTGCATCAAGCCATGGGGGGACAGCACAAATAAGATAATAATGTGTGTAAAGCATAGTCCCCTGATCATAATAAGCACTTAATGAATATTAGCTATGACTTTGTATTGTGTGGGCAAATAGTATGTCACTGGAGGACTTTAAAAGAGGAACTAGATCTTACCTCTGGATCAGGTGGAGGTCCAATCAGAAGAGGAGAAACAGGTATTGGGGTAGGGGATGAGGTAAGAACTTACTTCCCCAGCCCAAATGAGAACCCATGAGACCTGAACTAGTGCCCTGGCAGAGACATGGGGAGGAGATGGAATTGGAATTTTATTGTAGGTCAGGACTTACTGACCAACCATAGATGGGAAGAGGAAGTAGAGAAGGAAAGGAAAGTAACAGGGAGGACTGCCTCTTCCCACTGCCAGCCTCAATTTCCTCATCTGTAAAACAAAGATAATAATCCCCCTCCTGGCCTCCTGGCAAGGTTGTTGTGAGAATCAAATAGGATGGTGGGTGGGAGGTCACTTTATGGGGTACAGAAGCTGGGTGGTGGGCCTCTGGGGAGGGTTATGATCTCCAGTGGCCAGAGCCTCCTCTTAAGTCAGCAGTCCTGACGCACTGACTCTGCCCCAGGCCCACTGAACTTCCACATGCTCCAGATCGCCCACTTCCGCGACCCCTATCACGTGAGGTATTACGGCAACGCGTCACTGGGGGGACATCTGACACACAGGCTGGAGGGCCCAGGCACCAACGTCACAATCCTGCAGCTGCAGCCCGTGCAGGACCAGGAGAGCTGGGCGCACACAGAGACAGGTCTGCATCTCTACCTGCAGCAGTTCCAGAGCTTCGTGCGGCTGGTGTACATGGAGCAAAGGAATAGCGTGACCTGTAAGTTTGGGGCGTGTCAGGGGCGGGGACTGGGCGGGGCAGGTGAGCTGGGCCCTGGGCAGGGGCGGGGCTTTGCGGGAAGGGCACCCCGTGGGTAGGGCAGTCTGAGTGTGGGCGGGGCTACTCTAAGTTGGCACACAGGTGGCATGGCATACAGGTTCTTGGAGATGGATGGGTATGAGCTGAAGAATGGAGAGGGGTGGGTGTCCTAGGAAAAGGAGCTCTCCATCAGACCCTCTTCCAGTTGTCATGACCTCAGGGTGAACCATGTTGGGAGGCCTTGTCCCTGACCCACTCTTACCCCAGGGTTCACTGAAGACTCCTCACTCCTTAGCTCACACACTTCCCATTCCTTTGCTTCCTAGACCCCCGTGGTTCCTTCACATAACCTCCAGGACTTTCCCCTCAACCCTCCAGCCACCTCTCCTTACATGCCGACCACTCCAGCTCCCTCACAACCCCCAACTCCTTCCCCTCAAAAACCCCAATTTCTACTCTGGCATCCCTCACAGCCTCCCCTCATAGCCCCAACTCCTCTCTCATAGACTCTTGCACCACCTTCCACAGCCTCTAAAACCCTAACCTTAACCACCCCCCTTGTCTCAGCCCACGGCCCCCCACCATGTCCTCTTCCCCATGGTGGACCGCTCCCCCGCCCCACACTGACTTCCTCTCCACACAGCCTCTGATCTGAACCCCCTCCGCAGTTCCTCTCACCATCCGCTGCTTCCTGGGCTGCGAGCTGCCTCCTGAAGACTCTGAGAGTTCCAAAGCCCGTGTCTTCTTCGAAGTGGCTTTGAACGGGAGCTCCTTTGTGAGTTTCCAGTCAGAGGACGCCCAGTGGGTGCCAGAACCCCAGGCACCCTCCACATTGGTCGCTTACACGCTGAAGCAACTCAACAGCTACAATCGTACTCGGTATGAAATGCGGGAATTTCTTCAGGACACCTGTGTGCAGTACGTGCAGACACATATCGCCGTGAAAAACTTGAAAGGTACCAGGGTCTTGGGCAGTGCCTGTGTGTTAGGGAAAGGGCGAGTTCCAGACAAATAGATGAACCTGAAGGATGTGAACTATAAGAGCCAGGAGCTGGGAGTAGGGGCAGAGCACACATAGCTTAAGTCGTTCGGTTGACTGGCCCCTTTCCTTTGGGGGCAGAAATCCCTTGGGGTTTGACTCAAACCACAGGCCCTTTGGTGAGATGCTTAAGCTAACTCTCTGCATGTTCTGCAGGGAGCCAAACAGGCCGCTCCTACACTTCATTGGTCCTGGGCATCCTGGTGGGCAGTTTTGTCATCGCTGGTGTGGCTGTGGGCATCTTCCTGTACACGGGTAGACGGCGATGTTAATTACTCTCCAGCTCACTCAAGAAAGTGCTGGGTTGACCAGAGCTGGCAAGGGAAGGTCTCAGCTGACATGAAGCCAAACAGATGCTCCAACTGGGACACCGTATCCCAGAAAGTTTGAAGTGACAGCTCCTTTTTCCTCCCAAATCTGCCCACCAAGGGTTTGGGGAGGGTATGTGGGGAGGCTTGGTAATTGGTTTGCTAAGAACCTAACAACTTGCATGCTTTGCTGAATTGGTCTGAGAAGTGAATGTTGATGTATCTTTGTGGAAAACAGATAAAGGAGTTGGAGCAGGGGTGTCTATGGCCCATCCTCCAAAGATAGAATCACCTGAGAAGCTGAAAGCATGGAAGGAAATAAAACAAATTTTCCATTACCAAAATAAACAACATTCAGTGCTTTCAGGTGTGTCCGACTTGGGAAGAGACACTGGGATAAAAGAGGGAGAAAGAAGTAACCAAAGGAATGGTGTGAAGATAAAATCTAAGTAATATGGAAACAGTGTTATTAATTAATTTTAAAATATGAATAAATTTATTACTTATGCATATAGCATAATTGTTTCCTCTATTTTACAAAACTTCTGGAGAAGTAGTCTATACCCTCTGCTTCTGCTTCTTCCTTTCCCACTCTTTTTTTTGAGGCAGGGTCTCCCTACGTACTTCAAGTTGACCTTGAACTCACCATGTAGCCCAGGCTGGCCACAGCAATCCTCATGCCTCAGCTCCTAAGTGCTAGGATTACAGGCGTGTGCCACCACACCTAGCCCCCACTCACTTTTAAATTCACTGCAATCTGGCTTCTCTACAAACTGCTCTAAGATCACTAGTAACCTGTTATTGTCAAACTTTTTTCCTCCATGATATCTGTAAAATTTATCTTTGTGCATTAGACCTCTCTTTTACCCTAACTTTGGCAATACTTCTAATTCATAAAAACTATTCTGGGTACTTATTTTTCAATCCTTTGACTACAAGGAATGATTAAAGAAACTGAATATTTAAATATAAATTTATTATAGTAAAAGACACATTGCCATTAATCCCCCTTAAAGTAGGCCCCCTCACTTCAAACACTCTTAGCCTATCATTCTTGCCACTTTCTGAAGCAGTTTTGTAAGTCTTCTTTCATGTATTAGATCATGCTATCAAGGCTACCTCAATGTCACGAATCAATTAAAAATGTTTACCTCTTGTGGTCATTTTGACTTTGGGGAAGAGCCAGAAGTGACTGTTGTCACATTCAGTGAATAAAATGGATGAAGATACACCATAATGCTTTTACAAGCCTGCCTTTCAGTTGGATGGCTCTTGGGAGCAATATTCACTATATTTTTTTATCATACCTGGTAAAGACACTCATGAAAGAGGATGTCCAGAACTGCTTCAGAAGGTGTCAAGAGCAATGGAATAATTGTGTTCAAAGTGGAGGAGAGTATTTTGAGGGGCATTAATGCTTCTGTGTCTTTTACTATAATTCTTTTCATTTGAACACACTATATCTTAGTCCTTGTATGTTAACCTGGAAATGTTGGCTTTCTTAAGGTGCCTTTTTTTTGGGGGGGGGTAAAACAGGGCCTCTCTATGTAGTTCAGACTGGCTTCAAACTTGTGATGATCCTCTTATCTTTAAGAGCACATGTTTTGTCATCAGATTTGAGTATTTCTTTGAGCCAAACATTTAACTTCTTCAAGTCTCAGTTTCTTCATTCACAAAAGTATAATAAAACATACAAACAGGGTGTAAGAAATACAATACCTACCTCACAGAGGCATTGTGAGTATTAGATAAAATAATATATGCATAGTTGCTAAGAACAGCAGTGGCTGCAGACCTCCAAACCTCCCACATGTCTTGATTCTTGAAAATCATTTGTACTGTAATACTTTGCAGACATTTCAGGGTAACATATTCAAAACCAAATGTATTATCTTTTTTTTTTTTTTGGTACCAGGGATCAAACTCGGGACCTTGCACTTGCGAGGCAGGCAGCGGAAACCCTGAGCTAAATCCCTGGCCCTATCTTTTAAAATTATCTTTCTTCTCAACCCTATTCTCTCTTCTTTTCTTCACTGTCTGTTAATAGATAATAGAATTACCAAGTTACATAAGCGTAGAGACCTCAGTGTCAACTCTACTCCCTCTTTATCCCTGCCCACAAGATACGATATCCATAGACTCCATTCCCTCCTTTCCACCCCATTACTTTGATTCAAGATATCACGATGCATCTTTCCCTGTGGTAGGCACAGAGGTGCCACCCAGCTCAACCTCCTGCTCACCTTCTTGGAAGATGGACAACAGATAGCCTCCAGCTGCTTCATCTTCTCAGTCCCAGCCTCTGCTGCAGAGGACAGTCTGCACAGGTCACGCCCATCCAGGCCCTGGCCACTCTTGGAAGCAGTTCTGGACATCTTTCATCAGTGTCTTTACAAAGTGCGATAGGCATTATGTTATGTCCTTATCCACTGTATTCACTGGATGTGACATCATGTCACTTCCAGTGACTGAGCGAGGCAGGGGTGTAAAGATCCAGCCATTGCAGTCAATACAAGAGTAGGACAACTCCTATGAACAGTATTCACTCCGGAATTCCCTGCCAGGTGGCTGGGGCTCTGTCAAATCTATAATGCAGTTTGACTTTTCCCTTAACATCTTGTACCTTACACTCAATCTCAGCCTCTGATTCCAGAAAACTCAACATGTAACCAGGTTTGGTGGTAAACGACTGTAATCTCAGGACGCTGGGAGGTCAAGGCAGGAGGATTGCCAAGATCAAGTCCCTACCAGGGCAATTTAGCAATTTAGCAAGACTCTGTTTCAAGATTTAAAAATAAATAAAAAGGGCTGAGGAGGTGGTTCAGTGTGAAAGCCTTGAGTTCAATCCCCAGTACCACCAAAACAAATAAAAATCCTGTATGTGTGCATGCACACATAAGCGTGTGCATATGCAAGCCTTCTTCTCCTTTTCTCTCATCTCTCAAAATTGAGAAATGTTCTAAGACTTTTATCTGGTCCATGGCTATGGCCTCCTCCTAGGTTTTCTCTTTGTTTCTGATTTCTACACATTCTGATTCATCTTCCACATAACAATAGAAAATACAGATATGAGACTAGGTGTGGTTGCACACACTTGTAATCCAGCTCTCTGAGAAGCTAAGGTGGGAAGTTTGCAAGTTCAAGCCCAATCTGGGCAATGTAGGGAGAACCTGTCTCAAAATAAAAAATAAAAAGAGAGCCAGGTAAAGGCCAGGGATTTAGCTCAGTGGTTCTGGTGCCTGCCTTGCAAGTGGAAGGTCCCAAGTTCAATCACTGGTACAAAAAAAAAAAAAGGGAGCCAGGTAGAGTGGTGCTACCTGTAATGTCAGCATTCTGGGAGGCCAAGACAGGAAGATCACAAGTTTAAGCTCAGCCTGGGCAACTTAGTGACTTAGTGGGACCCTGTCTCAAAATACAAAATTTAAAAAGATCTAGGGGGCCGGGGATTTAGCTCAGTGGTTCTGCTGCCTGCCTCGCAAGCGCAAGGTCCAGAGTTCGATCCTGGTACCCAAAATAAAATAAATAAAATAAAATAAAAAGGACTAGGGATGTAGTTTAGTGTGAAGAAGGCCTTGGGTTCAATCCCTCATAGCATATATATATATATATATATATATATATATATATATGTATGTATATTTAGTTCCTCAAACTTATCAAGTTAAATTCGAAATCCTCAAAGTGACATTCAAGGGTGTACAAAATATTCCCCAAATCCAATTGCCTCATTTTATTTTCTACCATTTATCTTTACCCAAATGTACTCCAGCTTATTTACTGGGAAAGGATATTTTAAAATAACAGAACAAGTACCACAACAGTAACAACACAGAATTAACAAACAAAAAAAAAGTTCCCTGTTTTGTCTTTCTCCCTAAATTCTAGTCCTAGAAGTATGCCAGGATTCTTAGTTGTATGCAACAGAAAGCTACTCTGCAAATTTAAAAGGGAAATATATTGGAAGGTCACCAAATAATCCTGAGGTGACCAGAAGGTCAATTAATCAAGCTCAGCAAATAGAACCCAGGACCACAGTCACAGCCCCAACCCAAGAACTGTGTAGTGATAGGCATAAGGGCACATGCCTGTGATCCCACTAGCCAGGAGACTGAGGCAGAAGGATCGCCATGAATTCAAGGCCGGCCTGGACTACACAAGCAAGGCCTTGTCTCAAAAAGCAAGAACAGAGGGAAAAAAGGAATGATCTAGTTAAGGATACCACAGCCAGAACTACTGCCTCCATCACTGTCAATGTCTGGTGTCATCTTAATGAGTTCTCCTGCCTTCAAATCATTAGTTCAAGATTCAAAGTCCTGGGTGGGAGGATCTGTGTGACCAAGCACAGACCATGTATCATGGGTCCTATTTCCTCTGCCTCGGTAGCGGTGTTGGGGCAGGGAGACTTCAGGTACCTTTGGCTTCCCTTGTGGGAAGTAGGACCCTGTCTTCCATTAAGACCCACACCAAGGAAGAGGTTTCAGGTGCTGGGCAACCAAAAGACAAAAACCAAAAGAAAAATGAAATAGAAAAGTAAATGACCCCAAGTGTTCACTATATTTTACATCATTTATTCATTCAGTAAATGTTTACCAGTGAGCTCCGTATACGT